TATTTACCACCCACTCTGGATGGAATCTATTGGAACTCCTTTGAGCTCATCCTTACTCCTTAGTCAATGCCCGATGAGACACTCTTAACTTTATGATGTCTGTTAGAGAATATCAACCTATTCAAGGACCTCACCTAACAGCTTAAGCTTTTAGGTTGAATGGTTCTTTGAGATGGTATCAAATCCATTTTGACCAAGTGTCTGGTGAATTTTCATATCTTTAGAAGCCTGCTTAAAACGCCTGAATTCATTTCTTAATCTCCAGATTGCTCCTTCCTCTTTCTTCAGTCAGTTTACAACAACTTTTGAGTCCCCTTCAATAATCAACCTGTTAATCCCCAACTCTTTAGGTTTCTCAAAACCAAATACTGCTGCCTTCAGTTCTGAATTCACCACATCACCATGCTGAATAGGGCATGAGAACATGGCAATGATATTTCCATTCTCCTCCCTTATTACCCCACCAATGCCCAATGGACCAGGGTTTCCCAAACAGCTACCATCAAAATTTAGTTTCTTCCACCCAACATCTGGAAGGGACCAAAATTCAGTTACAATAGGTCTTCTAGAAGCAATATTTGCAATTGTTCCCCATGATCTGAAGAAATCTTCTGTCTTAAAATCTAAAAACATTTTCAAAGTTTTCACCCAATGTGCCACCCTTATAGCTATCACTTCAATCACATCATCTCTACCTCTTTCCTTCTCATCAAATATCCTCAGATTTCTTTCCTCCCAGATTGTCCAAGCCACTGCTGCTCTAGTGCATTTTCCCATCACTTTGCCTCTCCTTTAGAGGACCTGAATATGTTGGAGCTAAGAAGATCTTCCAGATTAGCAAGAGGATTCCAGTTGCAACCAAACAGAGAGGAAAACCACTCCCAAATAAAGTTAGCAAAAGAACAGGAGATAAATAGGTGAAAAGCAGTCTCACCATTCAGCTTACATAAGGAGCACCAGTTTGGGGACAAGCACCACTTTGGTCTTTTTCTCTAAAGCAAGTCACAAGTGTTGATGGAACCATGGAAAACTTCCCAACAGAAAGCACTGATTTTAGGAGGGATGGTCTGAGACCAAATCTCCTTAATAGGGAAAGGAGAGGAGGAGGTGCACAAGAGAGTTCAAGAAAGATTTGCAAGAAAAAGAACCTGACTGATTGAGGGCCCAGACTCTAGAATCTGAAACACTATCCCCCAAAACTACTGAGTTCAACAAGTTAACCATGGTAGAGGCACTAGAGATTTCCAATTCTCTTACATTTCTAGTAAAACCCAAATTCCAACTCAAGTTTGAAGAGGAAGAAGAGCTGATAAAATCACTAATAGGGGAATCCCCACCAGGGAGAGAAATGCCTAGGTATTTGAACTCCTATATCATCTTGGCCTATGAGCTATCTAGGATTACCTTAGCCTTTAGGAGGCAACCCTAGATCCATTACACTTTGAACTCTAGTTCTGGACATCAGATTCTCCAAAAAACTTGCCTCGTGAATCTTTTGTTTAAATAACATTAAGTTGTGGTTATTTTAGGACTGAGATGAATGCATTGAGTCAACAATTCCTGTTTTTATGATAGAATAGCTACTAATCAATGGCTGTGCTCCCATCTTCATTTAAAGGACATTTAAGTTTAGGTAATCCAATTTATGAACAGGCATAGCTCTCTCTATATATGGTTGATGTAAGAGGCTGGTCCTTGTAAGAAGTTTAAAAGGGTAAAAGTAAAAAAAAAAAAAAAAAAACACAACAACAGTGAAGGTATCTATCAAAAAAAAAAAACAGTGAAGGAAACAGAGTCAATAAAATATGCTAGGGCCAGAATTGTTCCTCTTTGTCTCCCTTCAAATGGCAGTGCAGAAGGGGATATAATGAGTATATAAAATATGCTAGGGCCAGAGATGATTTGTTGTAATGGAAAAGATTTTTCTGTTGGGATATTGTGTGTTTGGCACACAGATCTTCTTTGTTGCCCCTTGGAAAGCCAATCTTCTTTATCTGGCCTTGCATTCAGATGTTAACCCTATTCCTTTTTTAAGACTTTCATTAAATGAGGACCTCACATGAGAAACACTTTTTTGAGGTTTGATAAGAAGCTACCTGATAGGCTGATACCAATGTTGCCACCTATTATTGGCAATTTGGCATTCAAGGTGTCCTTTTATCATGAGACTTTGGAGTGAAAGATGAAATTTGTGGCTTGAATTCTAATAATATGGTTCACATGAGTATAATAGAGTATACTACAAAAACGCTCCTGAATTGGGCAGAAACTTAAAGGCCGTTTATTAAGTGTTCTCCTAATGAATTATAGTGCCAAGGCAAGAAAACAAAGTCAATAAAGAAGCAAGTTTTAGGAAAAAAAAAAACTTAGAAAGTTAAAGTTCTATATTATTATGAAAATATTAAACACTCACCATATTTGCAGTTCATTCCATGAACGGAAATTCATTTCATCCTTGACGTCTATATCGATCATCATCAAGACTGCTACTCTCATACTTACTTTTCCCCCTTGACCAATACTCATCCTCATACCTGGTCCTCTTGGCATCTATCTGTCTATAGATCTCATGCCTTCCACTTCCATGTTCATAATCTCTTCCATGTCTTTTGCCACTACGTTCTTGTTCATCATCTCTTTTATGCTTTCTGCTTTCACGCTTGTTGTCTTCATCCTCTTCATGCTTTCTGCTCCCATGCTCTTCCCCATATCTATCATGCTTTCTGCTCCCATGCTCCTCATCATCTCTCCCATGCCTTCTTCCCCCATGCTCTTCTTTCTCCCCCCTCTCATGCCTTCTGCCCCCATGCTTTTCTTCTTCATCTCTCTCACACTTTATGTGATTGCGCTCTTTCTCTTCACCCTTTCCAAGTCTTCGACTTCCACGTTCTTCTTCATCCCTTCTACAATTCCTATCTCCATGTTCATCATTGTACCATCTTCTATTTGACCATTTCTCCCCCAATCTATTGCGACTGGAGTAATCTTCTCTCTTCTGATCATCCTTGCTCTTGTATTCTCTGTCCATATCAAATTCAACTTTGTCATCTCTAAGCTGCTCCTGAGATTCTACCTTTTTTCCCAAATTCCGGTTTCTTGACTTGAATTCTGGTTGGTCATCATGGTTCTCATCTTCCAATTTCCTTTTACCTCTCATGTCATGACTCCCAAAAATGCCATCTCTGGTTGACTCATACTGCTTCTTTCTTTCCAATTTCCCCATTATGTCCCTTCCACTCTCCTGATGATCATCATCATCACTATAACGATCACCCTTTTCTTTCCTTTCATCATTGCTCTGAATGACTCTAGACCCGAATCCCCTTTCTTCTGCAGCACCTCTTGGAGCATTTCTGTAACCTTTCCCAATCAGGTCATCCTCATAAACCCTCCTGGTCTTGTCTTCAATGGACTTCTTTCTAGCTCCCTCAGGGATGTGATCACTACCACTACCTGAATCACTGTTGCTGCTGCTGTAGTCAGAACTATCACTGCTGCTGCTCCCACTGTCATCAGTTGGGGAATCTGCCCCTCTTTTGGTTACCTTGTGTCTTCCCAGATGCTTCTTAGCATTCCTCCCACCAGTATCAGAATCTTCTTCATCAGTGTCATGCCTTTTACTTCCATGACGTTTCTCAATCTTTGCCTTCGAAAATTTTCTCGACTTGTCAGGATCAGAATCATCATCCACTCTGTGCCCATGTCTGCTGTTTCCATATTTCTTATCATCAATTTTGGTATTCCTCCTCTTATCTTTTGTGTTTAAGTCATCTCTGTCACTGTCTTCATCCACTCTGTGTCCATGCCTGCTGTTTCCATATTTCTTATCATCAATTTTGGTGTTCCTCCTCTTATCTTTTGTGTTTAAGTCATCTCTGTCACTGTCTTCATTTCTATGACTGTGATTCCTCTGTTTCTCTCTTTGATTTTTTCTTCTTCCTCCTTCTCTATCAGTATCAGATTCATCCTCAGAATCACGCCTTCCTCTTGTTTTCAATTGTCGGTTCCTTGTTTGACTTTTGTGGTTCTGTAAATTGCTATCTGAAGATTCTGAACTGGATTCATCATCAGAATCATGCCTCCTACGAGTATTAACAAGCTTTTCCATTTCCTTTTTGGCATTTCTTTGTCCAACATCACCACTGTCAGAATCAGAACCACTATCATGTCTTCTTCCCTTGCATTTCGTTGGACTCCTCTCCCCACTAATGCTATCAGAATGACTATCATGTCTTTTCCCTTTGTGAAACTTTGGACTCTTCTCCCCACTACTGCTATCAGAATCACTATCCTGTCTTCTTCCTTTGTAGCGCTTCTTTGGACTCTTCTCCCTACTACTGCCATCAGACTCACCTCCACTGCTATCTGTATCAGAATAATCATTATTGCAATTTTTCTTTCTGTCGTATTTCTTTTGGCGTCTTGAGTCATAATATTTATCCCTCCCACTTTCACTCTTCTTATTTTCCAGCTTCTTCATGCCCTCATTTGCAACATCCTTTACAGCTTTTGTATCTTCCGCTGTCTGTGTCTCCCTTCTATCTCTATCCTGTTCTGAACTCTTATATTTATCCCTCTGTTGTTCCTGGTCCTCCTTTACATAAACATTTTTTCTTTCCTTCACTTTTTCATCATCACTCTTTTCAGACTCTGTTTCTACTATTTCACCCGGCTCTTTTTGTTCTTGAACTTTAGATGTGTCATTACCGCTAGTAATTCCAAGTGCAGCTCTTAATGTCTCCATCTGTCTCTCTTTCCTCGCAGCAATTTGGTGAGTTTGTGTGTCTGAAACCCTAGAAAAACAATCCAACAAACATAAATATAGGAATTTAAAGTGCCCGTTCCAAAATCTAACAAAAAAAGCAAGACACAATGACCCACTGGTCTCAAGTGCAAGGAGAGTTTTCCAAGATTCAAAGGGTTACCTTTTTAACAACAGTAAAAGAAAATAAAAATTTGCCAGAGATACAGAAATTGGAGAAAAAGGAAAGTTGGTCAAGTTCAATAATTCTCTCAACTCCGAGTTAAATATAAGCCTCCAGGACACAGCCATAAAGAAATAGATCCGTAAGATACACCACCATAAAGCCAAAAGAAGAAACAAATTAGCATACCCAATTCTGGCCTCTACCGTCAATATTTCCAATAATATCATTTCAGAAAATAAAACCCTAAAGTCTAATTGCATAAGAACACTAAAGTTCCGTAACCAAGCCATAGAAAAGAGTGCCACGCTTTCAATTTTATCCATCTGTATTAGATAAACAAGGGAAGGGTAAGGATAATTACTTCTTCTCCATCTTCATGCCGCCTCCGGCGTTATCGTTGTCCTCCGAAGCTGTAGACGCCTCCAAGTTTTTCCTTGCCTCCTCGAGCTTCTCAGCGATCTCGTCATCGGTGTATCCCTGGTCGATCAGTTTCTCTTCTAGAATCACGAGCTTCAGCTGTATCTGCCTTTTCCTGTCATGCTCGAGGATCTCCTTGTTCGGCTTCTTAACACCCGCAGTACCCTGACCAGCCTCGAAACCCTTAGTTTCGACCTTCCCGGTCTTGGGCTTTACGAAGAACTTGTTGCTTTGGATATACCCATTCGTTCCCGACCCTCTTGGGGTCTGCAAGCCGATGCCGTTGTACATTGCTCACTGAAACAAGATAAACAATCTCTGATTCAACAGATTTCTTCGCAAATTTTGAAATCATGTGCAGATCGTTAAAAGTGAGGAAAAAGAAAGAAAGAGCAGATGCAGTGAAAGAGAATAACAATAGATTCCAAAGGATAACAAATTAGGATGGGGAAAAACGAGTACGATGAAGAAACAACGAAGCCCTAAAAGAAAAGACCGCAAAGAAACCCTAGAATTAGAGTCAAATCCAATTAAATTAAATTTGAGGAACAAGAAACATGGAGGTAGAAAGATGAGATAATCGATCAGGATTTCTTAAATTTACCAACTGCAAAACTTGTCGGATGACGCAGGGGTCGCGCACTGTCGAGCGAAAACTGTCGCAGAACGAGAAGATATGCTTGTTTATGCTAATGCGGGAGGTGGTGTCGTCGGTATAATAATGTTAGCAATGCTTTACGAATAATATGAAAAATAGACCATACGGAGATGTAGCTCATATGGTGCGTTCGCTTTGCATGCGAAAGGTATAGGATTCGATACTCCGCATTTTCACTATATTTTCTCTCACTTTTCAACCTTGCAATACCCTTCAAATATTACATTTTATACTATTTATTATATACATAATCAAACAGATTCTAATAAATATGAATTCTAATAAAGCATATATTTTTTTTATCAAAAATCCTACTTGAATGCAAATTTATTTCATATCAATATATTTTTATATCTTATTGTCAATGTAAATATGCATTAGAAAATGTATTTTCTATTATTTGTGAATTTATAAATGTAATGTTGCAGAACATACATAAAAGTGAATCAAGTGTAAATTTACCCTGAATCTGGATTTACACTCCATTTGTATTGTTACCAAACGCAGCCTAGAGGTGTAAATCGAGTCATTTGGACCAGCACAGTACGGCCAATGTGTGGCCCCGCACAAAGTGCGGGCCATGCCATGTCAGCCCATGGGCCAAGCCGAACCATGCTTCCCTATATTGGGATACTTGGGAGGGTTGGGCTGTAGATCAGGCCAAGCCATGTTTTAAAAAAAATGCAAAAAATATATATATATAATAAAATTGAAAATAAAATTTTATATTATTATATATTTAATATATTATATTATGCATATGGGCCATGTTCTGTGTTGGCACGGCCCACTTGGTCGTGTCGTGTTGTACTAGTTCATGGGCCTAGAAACCTGATGAAGGGAATTTGGCACGACCTCGTAATCAAGAGACACGTGGACATGACTTAACATGGGTGACAGCTCAGCATAGATCAGCTTGCTACGAAGCGAGCTCGGATACACTAATACCCCGAACTAAAGTCACTTTGGGCTAAGATCGTCCCAGTACCAGATCACGACCAGGATAATGGGACCAAGTTTGCCACAGGTCAAGCCCAGGTATGTGACCTACCTCGGGCTCGAAGGCGCTTCAGCATTCATGGCAAGGATAGACTTGAGCACGAGCTCGATAAGCTCATTACCAAATAGCTCGCTATCAGACAGCTCGCCTACCATTCGGGCCTTCGCTTGGCAACCTCGAGGAACACACCTCCGTACTTTGTATCCCATCAGGACTGCGCTTGTAACGATAACATTAGCTCACCAACTCCCCATTCTGACAGAAAGCGACAGTTTTACCATTTGGCGGCATTTCATCCGCCTAATGAGTCGCATCAAGTCCCATCACTGTAGGGATCCAGTGACCGTTCCACCTACCCACCAGGGCTACAGTATATAGACACACCGCCCCCTCGGGGACGAGGGTACGTTCTATTATCTATTGATTGTGTGTAATCTTTGCTCTCTAACTCTCTCACTATTATCATCTTCAAGCTCTCTACCTATCACTGTGATCTAACTTAGCCATCGGAGTATCCTCGTCGGGTGAGCCATCCCGTGATCTCTGACCCTTCTCTTTCAGGAACCTAATTCTCATCGTTGCTGGCAGCCACATCAGCATCCAGCAGGGAGCAGTCGGATTACGCCACATTAATTGGCGTCGTCTGTGGGAACTTGTTACTAAAAGCCTTCTCATCTCCATTCCAAAAATCTAAAAAACTCAAAGTCAAACCCATGGCTTCTTCTAGCAGGGAGCAGCTGGATTACGCCACATCAAAACCCAAACCCGACATGGCCTAACCCATTGTGTCGTGCTTGGCACGACTCGCATGCTATTGTGTCGGGCCATGTCAAGCCAATTTACATCTCTACCATTCCTGAAAGTATTTTTGGGGTTTATTTCAAATCAAGTTCAATTTCTAGGCAAGTTCCACCACCAAGGTCAATTCATTGTGTCAATTTGGGTAGGGTAAGTGGGAGTTGGTTCAAAGAATTTAGAACCAAACCCTACCCTGTACACAAAGTGGTTAGGTTTGGTTCAAGGCTAATTTGAGGTCGGTTTCATTCATGTTCAGATAGAGACCTACCCATTTGTTAACCCCTACCTAAATCTTCAAAATTTCTCTCTTTTTGCAATTAAAAGATGAAAATATGCATGAGGTATTAAGAACTCAATTACCTATGAATGATTATATAAATTCAAATATCATTAATTATGTCTAGTAATTATCTCTATATTTAAATTAATATAATAATATTGAATGACATTATATCCACTATATTACACCATTATGCTTAGATTACTTTTCTTTGTCACATAGGTTTATGGTTTTAATAGAAACGTTATTATTATTATTATTATTATTATTATTATTATTATTATTATTATTATTATTATTATTATTATTATTATTATTATTATTATTATTATTATTATTATTATTATTATTATTTGTTATTTGTTGTTTGTATGAATCATTACCATCTTGTTTAATAATATTTCTCTTCACCAAAAAGAATAAAATTGCTGCATTGAATGCACATCCAGATCTACTAGCTAGTATATGTAAACTCTAAAATCTTAATCTCTCAATCAAAAGTTGATAAAAAATCATTATATATTTGCCTTAGATTTCTGTGCATGTCATAAAAGTTAAATCAAATATCATATATCTAATATATCGTATCATTACTACACTACTATTTTCTCTAATATTAAAGCAATTGCCATGTCAACCAAAAGTAACACAGTTTTGCTAGTATAGTAACTTCTTTTGTTTTGGAAAATAAAATCATTCATATTGACCAACACCCCTTAAATCAATTGGAACTTTTCTTGTCGCCTTATAAATTGTAGATTACTAAAACACTCTTGGTCCAACTCCATCAAATGGTACTGTATCAAACTTCTCTGCCCTAGTATAATAATTAGGAGAATATTCAAAAAGGAGATCTGTTGTGTTTACAATACATTAATGGAACCAGACCAGCCACAATAAAAGGATTATGGAAGTTTCAAAAGGTTAACGTTAGATTATTACAAAATGAGACATATATCCATTTCCAGTCTTTTTTTTTCCTTTTGATGGAACTAGAAGAACTAGTTCTTCCTGAAAATGAAGCCATTTTGAGAGATTTTTGTTAAGAAACTTACCTACATTTCCACAACTTTTCTTCTCAACTATTTCTACATATCACTAGTTGGGACTCATGTGATGCACAAACTTTATCAAGTATATTTAATGTAGAAGGAGTCTTATGACTGTGAATGTCGGAAAAATCCGGTTGTTTACTTCATGGCCGATTAGACAGAGTCGCCATCCATCATAATGAATAACTGGGAGTGATCGGCTAGGACAAAGCCAATCTAGGTAAGTTGAGAGAGAGAGGTTAAGAACCCCCCCCCCCCCCTTCTTGTCAATGTGAATGCCAATTCCCATCTTTATTTTGCACTTGAATTGGAGCCGAGAACCCATGTTTTCTAGCAACTTGGAAGGATGTAGATACTTCTTTCTTCCCTCCCAGGCTAGCCCCTTTTTGGATGCAGGGACTTGAGCAAAAGGGTGAGAAAACCCACCCCTTTTCTATCAGGAACCCCACTTTCAGACTCAATTAGCCAATCTAAAGGTTGAAAGAGCACACCAATTCTGTCCAAATTCCCAAAAAACATAGCAGCCCTTAAACTTACAAAAACACAATACAAAAGAAACTAGAAAGAAAAGATAGAACAAACAAAAAAAGAACTATAACAAAACTGAACTAAAACTAAAGCATCTAACAAATGTGTGAAACTCGAATCTAAACAATTGAGTATGAGGTAAGCACATTACCTCAATGTAGCCTCAAAGCAAACAAGTGATACTGCTATTAATATTGGTTGAACCAGCAAACCCGAACGTGTTAGTTTGGATGACTTTACTGAAAGTTGAGATTTCAGCTAAAAATCAATTGGAGGTCAAAGAGTATGAACTGAGAGGGTTTGTCGGACGAAATCTTTGTATAACAGCGCAAGAATGAGGATGGTGTCGTTAGGTTTTGCTCTAAAACGCCCTTTCCTCACTCTTAAACTTTCGTTCGTTCTCTTTCTCAAACCCTCTACAACCCCTCGCTCAAGCTTTCTCTCTCTCTCTCTCTCACTCATCTCTTTTCTACTCTCTCAGAGCTCTCCCTCTATAACTCTCTCTCTCTCTCTCTCTCTCTCTCTCAAACTTTCTCTCTTAGAATCCTCTCTATCATCTTTCAAAGCTCTTCGAAGAACCCCCTTTCTTTGAATACCCTCTACTCTCGCCTAGGCTCTCTCTCAGATCTTCTCTACCCTTTGTTTTCTCGCTATCTCTCTCCCACTTTTGAAAAACCCCCTATATGCTTTCATCTCACTCGAGCTTTCTCTTGTTTTTCCTCCCCTTCTCGGCCGACCTCTGTCTTTTTCTCTCTCTAAATCGAGAGACCCTCTACCTCTCTACTTTGAGTTCGGTGACCTTTCCAAAAGGAATCCCTACAAGAGTCCCCCTTTCTCATTCGACCCAAACCTCTTATTATAAAGGGTATAAAGGGAGGCACAGACTTTTATCAAAAAGCAAGAGGCCAATTTGGTAAGTTAGGGTTTGGAGGAGGATAATACAAGTTTAGAGGAGGATTTAGGTAATTCGGGTGATTTTGGTAATTTGGGTTTAAAGAGCAAAATGGTAATTTGTGGTCCAAAGGGGTAGGCTTAGAGGGCTCTTAGGTAATTTTTTAGTGAAAGGCATTTCAATGATTTGGTATGAGGAGTATTTTGGGGATTTAGAAAAAGGGTATTATAGTAATTTGGTCAAGGGGGTATCTTAGGAGTTTGCAATAAGGGGTATTTTGGTAATTTGATCAAATGGGGGTATTTTAGTAGTTTTTGTTAAAGGATGTTCTATGGAATGAAGGGTATTTTGGTCATTTGCTCTGGGTGAGCTTTGGAAAATTGGAAGAAGGGGTATTTTGGTAATTTGATCAAGGGGTATTTTAGTCATTTAGATGAAAAGGATCTTGGCAATTTGGAATGGGGATATTTTGGGAGTTTGGAAAGAAGGTAGTTTTAGGTGTTTGACATGAGGGGTATTTTGGTAATTTGGTCAAT